ATACAAGAAAAATCTCCCCAAAAAAAAAAAAAAAAAAAAAAGCTGTGCTGAGTGTGTGTCAGTCTCAAAAGGCCAGGATTGAAGAATATCTGAACCAGCTGGAGAAGATGAAGAACGTAATTCCATGTGGTAAGATAACCACTGAGGACCTGAATGAAGTCTTCCCAGAAACCACATTAGATAAGTACCCCTATTGGCCTCACTAGCCAACTGAGAATTTACAACATTTTTGTGTTTGGAAGGAAGTTCTGGCCCTTGTCTTACAAACTCTGGACATAAAAAATAAAAATAATGACAAAGAAAAATAAAAGTTTTGGGGCTGGCAGGTGTGGTGGTTAAGATACTGGACTCCCACATGACTGACAGCAGTTTGAGACTCAGACCTGGCAGCTTGCTTTCTTACTTTCTCTTTCTCTCTCTCTCTGTCTGTCTCTTTGTGGTAACATTACAAAATAAATAATAATAACAAAAAAATTAAAACAAATAAAATTTTTAAAAAGGAAAAAAACTTTTGACTCCTTTCCATAGAAACATGAACATATACCAGTGATTCTCTGCTGGGGATGATTCTGCCCCTACCACTCGCCCAAAGGACATTTGGCAATGTTTGGCAACATTTCTGGTTGACACAACTGTCGGGGGGAGGTGCTATTGGCAACGAGAAGGTACAGTGGCTGGAGGTGCTCCTTACCAATGCACAGGACAGCCCTGCAAACAAAGAATGACCCAATCCCAGATATCAATAGTGCCGAGTTTGAGAAATGCGGTGACCACAGACGTAAACAATCTATTCTGGACCACTGAAAGCAAGCTGGATTCTCCTGCATCCCATATCTGTAACCCAGATGGAGATCTGGATTGGAGGATCTCTTCATTTGTTTTAGTCTCTAAAGTCATAATGCTCTATGACCTCATACTCTCAGGGCTTGACTATGGCTCCCCCCGGTCCCTGTTCTCGCCTCTAATTCATCAAAGGCCTGAGCCTCCTCTTTTGTCTTTGGTGGGTAGCAAGAGATCAAGAGAAGGCTCCGGGATTTAAGTCCCCATCGTCCCCCCCAACCCTGTTCCATTCCTCTACTCCATCTGCATTCATCTCAGTTCCCTATAGCTGGCAATAAAGATGAAAAGCTTCGGAACTAGCCAGCCCTAGGCATGAATCCTGGTTCTGTGTGTTAACTTGCTGTGCGACCACAGGCTCTGAGCCTCAGTTTCCTTTCTGAAAATCAGGGGGTACTCATTAAAGCAATCTCAGAAAGTCCTGTTCTCGCCTCTAATTCATCAAAGGCCTGAGCCTCCTCTTTTGTCTTTGGTGGGTAGCAAGAGATCAAGAGAAGGCTCCGGGATTTAAGTCCCCATCGTCCCCCCCAACCCTGTTCCATTCCTCTACTCCATCTGCATTCATCTCAGTTCCCTATAGCTGGCAATAAAGATGAAAAGCTTCGGAACTAGCCAGCCCTAGGCATGAATCCTGGTTCTGTGTGTTAACTTGCTGTGCGACCACAGGCTCTGAGCCTCAGTTTCCTTTCTGAAAATCAGGGGGTACTCATTAAAGCAATCTCAGAAAGTGAGGATGACATGAGAGCTTGTATAGAGAGATCATCACAGTGCTCAACATAGAAAATATATATATATATATAAAAAGCATTACTGGGGGCCATTTGGTGGTGCAGTGATAACACAGTGCCCCGAGAGGCAGGCCACATGGGAAGGTCCTATGTTCATGCCTGGAGAACACTCTGAACATGCAGCGAGTGCATATGTCCATGACCTGGGGCTGGCCGAAGCCGGATCATGGTGTGAAGACCGAGGGGGTACCTATATCTCTCTGTCTCCGTCCCTCTCTCTCTCTCTCTCTCATTCATGGAAAATAGAAAGAAATATGCAAAAAAAAATGCATTATGGGCCAGCAGAATGAGATTAAGGCACTGGATCCCACATGGCCAGTTTTGCAGTTCAAGTCCCAGACCTGGTGGCTTGAGAATCACACAGAGCACCTGTGTGTGCATGCCCCAAATCCCAAGATGAGAATGGAGGAGAAGGGAATGCAGCATGGCCATCCCTCCTGGGGTGGCAGTGGTGGTTTCTCACTACCCACTGCCCTCCCCCACCCCATCTCTGGCAAACACATGGACCCTATAGAAGAAACAAACAAAAACCCTAAATGCATTATGATTAAGGCTCAGAAGTGACCTACCCCGGCTACACAGCTGGGAAATAGCAGAGTTGGGACCGAAATCCAGGACTGCATGACTCCAAAGCAGATGCTCATTAATTAGTAAACTTTAGAGCATCGATTTCACTAGAAAGGATGTTAATTGTCTCCATCGCTCAGACTCATTTATTAGGCAAGTATGTAAAGTGGCTGGCACACAGTAGGCACTTTAAACAGTCTGTTGAATCGTTACCATTGTTCTTCCCAAGCACACTGACTGGACCAGAAGACAAGACGGTGGTCAAAGGGAGGGAGGGAAGGAGGCTGCTGGCTATTGGATAAGTGGGGATAGCTGGGAGCTTTGGCTGGTGGGATGTAGCAGAACTGGGAGGGCTCCTAGAGATCACTCTTCCCTTGTAACTTTCAGTAAAGAATTCGAAGCCCAGAAAGCAGAGGGCATCTATTCCAGGTCATACAGTGGCTTAAAGCCCAAGGCCCCAGTCTCCCGATTACAGGTCAGAATCACTGTCTTGGCCTGGACCATTAAAAGCAACCTCCGTCATCAATTGTGGGTTTTCAGCATACATGGTACTAAGCATATTACGTGTTCATCTCAGTTTACCCTCACATCAGTTTCGGAACAAAGGGCCTTTTTTCACAGCTGAGAAAACAAATTCAGAGTGGTGAGGACATTTGCCTGAGGCCCTGAAGGAAGGGTGAAGCTGCCTGCTCAGTTCCAGAAGCCTCAAATTCTCCCCTTTACTATCCTGAAGACACCCTGCTGAAGCCCTGGGAGTTGCCCAGTGGAATTCCCCAATTCCTGGAGTGGAGCAGGGAGGAAGCTGAGTCAAGGAAGGCTGTCAGGGAGGCGAAAGAGCACAGAGCCTGGAGTGTGGGGAGGGGCTCTGACCAGGGCTGGGGATTGCAGAGGGACCAGAAGGGTGTGTGTGGGGGGGAATCACTAGATTCAGAAAGGGGTCTTAGGGATTCTTTCATCTCTGCCCCTGGCTGCCCACTTAGGGCCTTCAGAACGGGACTGGGGGAGTCCTCCAGCCTCGGCCTCCTCCCTCCCTTTCTCACAAGGCCTGCAGTTTGCAAAACCCAACCCCTCCCGTGAGGCCTGTGGTTTCCTGCGGGTCTGGGGTCCTGCCTGACTCTGCAGTGGGGACTGTGGGTAGAAGAGAGGAGGAGATGGTGTAAGCTCTTTCTTTGCTTCTCATGCTGGGGCTGCCCAGCACACGCACACACACACACACACACACACACACACACTATCCCCTGAGTCAGCACCCCTGGGGGGGGCGGAGTCACGGATCCAGTTGGTAGCACCTCCTTAAAGCCCCCACAGGAACAGCTGCAGCCAGACCTGTCACCCTCACCATGAGTAGCTGGCAGCCCCTGGGTCTGGCACTTCTGGTGCTGGGCTGCTGCTCCGCTGCCCCTCCACGGCACCAGCCCACTTTTGTGGTCTTCCCAAGAGACCTGAAAACCAATCTCACCGACAGGCAGCTGGCAGAGGTAGGTCAACACCTCAGTCTAGGACTGGGGTGTTGAGTGAGTGTCTGAGAGAGGGCATGGAACCTTGGAGGAGATGCTTCAGGGGTGCGTTGAAGGTGATGAACACATCCAGAGAACAGAGGTGTCCAGGGTTGGGTACCACGTGGGGGGCAGGGGTGGTGTCCTGTGGCAGTTCAAGACAATGATAGGCGATGCAGATTTCTTAGGGGAAAATGGTGTAGGCTGCAATGGGAAATGGTGTGGGGTGGGGGGCATCGGAGGGTTCTGGGTGCGCATGACCTGGGAATGGTCAGGATAAGCCCTAGGGGGCCCTGGAGCAGGCAGTGGCTAGAGGCACCCAGAGGCTAGAAGGAGCTGAGGATGTCTAAGGGAGGGTAGACTCGCAGGTAGAAAGCAGTGATCACCTGGAGAGGTAGAGTCCTAGCCCAGAAGGGCAGAGAAAGCGGGTCAGGGCTCAGGGATGTCTCTGCTCCTCTGCCCACAGGAATACCTGTATCGCTATGGGTACACTCGAGTGGCCGAGATGCGCGGGGAGAATCTGTCCCTGCGTTCAGCGCTGCTGCTTCTCCAGAAGCAGCTGTCCCTGCCCGAGACCGGTGAGCTGGACAGCGCCACCCTGAAAGCCATGCGTACCCCTCGCTGCGGGGTCCCAGACCTGGGCAAATTCCAAACCTTCGAGGGCGACCTCAAGTGGCACCACCACGACATCACCTACTGGTGAGCGGCAGGCTGGGTGGGTAGGGAGGCGGGGCCGGGAGCGCATGCGGGCAAACGTGCGCTCTTACTCTAGACCGGAGTTTCCTTACTTCGCCTGCCTCGAGTAGCTCCACCTCTGAGCCTCCGTTTCAGACCCCCTTGTCAGGGCCCTTCTAAGGGCTGAAACGCAGGACGGGAAAGTGCGGCGGAAAGTGCTTATGGATGGAAGTGTGGGCCGCAGGGAGCGTTGCATTTGCCGAAACCTCGGAGACAAGGGTCCTTGCAGTTGTCCCGCTCCGCCCTCTCACTTCTGGCCTGTATCCTCGTGCTTTTCCCCTGCAGGATTCAAAACTACTCGGAAGACTTACCGCGCGACGTGATCGACGACGCCTTTGCTCGCGCTTTCGCGGTGTGGAGCGCAGTGACGCCGCTCAGATTCACTCGTGTGTACGGCCAGGAGGCCGACATTGTCATCCAGTTTGGAGTCGCAGGTGAGAACGCGAGAAGGGGAAAGCCAGGAATCCTGGACTGGCCAGGGGAGGGAGGACCATGAATAGTGTACAGGAGGCAGAGACCCGGCCTTCTCTTGCCGGCCCCAGCAGCCCTGGCCCCGCTTGGTCACAAGGCGCCCGCTCCTGCTGGACAGAGTGCAAGATTAGGAGAGCTGCGTGCAGGAAGGATTTCAGCCGCTCTGGGCTCGGAGCCCTTGGGCAGCACGCAATCTGCCCTGCAGAACTCAGCTCACTCGCTTCCTCACCACCTGTTTCTGCAGAACACGGAGACGGGTATCCTTTCGACGGGAAGGACGGGCTCCTGGCACATGCCTTTCCTCCTGGCCCTGGCATTCAGGGAGACGCCCACTTCGATGATGAAGAGTTGTGGACGCTAGGCGAGGGCGTCGGTGAGGTCCTGAGCTGCCCCATTCCGGATTTCCTCCTCTCACCCTATCGCCAGCCTCATTCACTCCGGTCCCCCCTTTTCCCACAGTGGTTCAGACCCACTTTGGAAACGCAAATGGCGCCCCCTGCCATTTCCCTTTCACCTTCGAGGGGCGCACCTACTCTGCCTGTACCACAGACGGCCGTTCCGACGGAATGCTCTGGTGCAGCACCACGGCTGACTACGATAAGGACCGCCAGTTTGGCTTCTGCCCCAGCGAGAGTGAGTGTGGGGTCACGGCACGGGATGGGGTGCCCACTACCTGTGATGACCCAGAATCCTGGGTTCTAATCCTCGCTCTGTCACTAGTGTGGCTTGCAAGTCATATTCTTGCCCTCTGGGCTCAGTGTCCTGATCTGTGAAATAAAGAGAGGAGGGATGGCATGCAGTCTGTGGGGCAAAGGAGTGGAACTTGGGGGTAACGGTGTGGTTCCCCAGCACTCTACACCCAGGACGGCAATGCGAACGGCGAGCCCTGCCAGTTTCCGTTCATCTTCGAGGGCCGCTCCTACTCTGCTTGCACCACCGATGGTCGCTCCGACGGCTACCGCTGGTGCGCCACCACCGCCAACTACGACCAGGACAAGCTCTACGGCTTCTGCCCGACCCGAGGTACCCCCGCCCCGCCCACCAGATTCCGCCCTGCCCTCTCATCAAGCACTGGTCCCCGAAACAAGGCTCTTACACCCACCAGTTTGTTTTTCCACTCCTCATTGGTCCTCAGGACCCTGTAACTCCGCCCACCACCACCACTTCCTTCCCGCCGGCTTCCAGTTGCCCCGCCCATCCGGCGACGCTCCGCCTCTTTTGCTCAGCGGGCTGCTCCTTGGTCGGATGTCCCAAGCCCCGCCCACTAGTCCTGCCGGGCCGTGGCGCAGCTCCACAGCGCCCCCTAGGTTTTAAAAATAGACCACCACGATTTTCTAGCTCCTGGGGCCCACCCTTCTTAGCTCCTTAATGGACCCACCCACCCGCTCACCCAAGACCCTGGTTCTCTCCAGCCGACTCAACTGTGACCGGGGGCAACTCTCCTGGAGAGCAGTGCGTCTTCCCCTTCGTCTTCCTGGGCAAGGAGTACTCGAGTTGTACCAGCGAGGGCCGCAGAGATGGGCTTCTCTGGTGCGCCACTACCTCGAACTTCGACAGTGACAAGAAGTGGGGCTTCTGCCCGGACCGAGGTGGGCGGGGTTCCGAGGCCGGGGTGGTGCGGAGGCAGGCGCTGCGGCCCAGGCCGGGTCTCAAGCTCAGGCTCCCTCCTCCCTCTAGGATACAGCCTGTTCCTTGTGGCGGCTCATGAGGTCGGGCACGCGGCGGGCCTCGACCACTGCG